TCCTCCGTGTTAAAAGCACAATCGTCCCTCCGCGAAGTCCCCTCTAGTGCTGACTTAAGTGTAAATCCGTCAGTTGTGCGTTTGTGGCTCTCACATCATCAACAACAACAGCTACTCGGGTTGCCACCTTCCCGCGTTCGACTCGGGACAGCCACGGAGGGAATTGGCCGTCCGTGTTGGGAGGGGTGTTGGGCAGGAATTATGATTTCCCCCCCCCCCCCCACCGGGATCTTGCACAGCGCAGGGTATTGTGGTGAACTGTGTTCAGCGCCGTGCGTGTGCTGCGTAACGGGCGTGTTGGCTAGCCGCCGAGCAAAGACGGTGACCGCGTCGCGTGCTTTCTGCGGCCGTCTGGAACGCTCTGTCCCGACGACATGGGAGCTATGCACTTTTAAATAATCGTCTAGATTGACAAATTCATTTCTTTAGAACTGCTTGTTGAGCTTGTCCCTCCCCCCCCCCTGCACCTCCGATTAGTGCGGTTGGCTATGTACGGTGCGAAAGAAGTTCAGCGTACGATACATACAGTGTTGATGGAGCTCGGCTGACCGAGGAGATCAGGCCGGATTTGGTCTGTGGGAAAGATTCGTGCATTGTAAACATGGACAATTTCCATCTTCATCGGCATCATCAATTTCCACTCCTTGTGACGTGCGTGTACAGGTGATGAGCGTGACTTTCATCATCATCACAACCACCAAACAAGACAAAAGATCCCCCGTGTAGCCTTAACGGACTGTAGGGGCAAGTGCTGTTAGCAAGCAGCAGCACCTCCTTGAAGGCCGGCACGGCACACGAGGGGGGTGGGTGGCCAACACCACGCCCGGCCGCCTTTGTCTCCCCCAGTGGCGATGTTTACTACACGGCAGCAGATACTCATTTGAGGCTGAGTCGAACTAGGGGAGGCCCAAGACCGGTTCAGACAATCGTCACCGGTGTTGGCCGTGAGCGGGAATCGAACTCGGGTCGCCGGGTCCGTAGCGCAGCGTAGCGCTAACCGCTGCACCACCGCCAGCACCACCATCGGCACCATCATTCCTTGAGCCCTAATTGTATATTGGTGAGTGTATTGTTTACTTGTCATCAATATCATCATCATCATCGTCGTGATGTGCGTGTGCAGTGATGAAAGTGTTGAAACCCTGCTGATGACTTTAGTTGCGATTAGCTGAAATTATCATAACAGTGAAATATTTATGAATGTGACCAGTGTGGGGACTGATCTTGTGAACGATTAAATGGTTGTTGATTAAATGGTTGTTGTTGTTGTCGTCACATTTCATTGGTTCAAGTCAATAAAAAGAGATCAGTTCTAAAACGTGTTCGCAATATTTGTTTAAAAAAAAAAACCGGAACAGACGGTGAGCGACGACTTTTAGGCCTGGAATTGAACTTGGCAAAAAAAATGTGTGAGGTGGCGTGGTACGTCCAATCAGAATGACATTACGTTGCGGTGATCAGAATCATCGGCATATTTATACTGGAGGAATCCGATGAGCTATAAAGCTCTTGTTTTTTGTCCCCCCCCCCCCCCCCCCCACGGATGTCCAGTTTCACAGATGTTGCTGCTGCAACGCTAGCAGCAGCGGTGCATCATCACGAATACAAACTTGGGACACATTTTGTCAGCACCGATTGTGTGCGTTGCCTTAAAAGGGAAGACTACATCATGGGCAATGTCCAAAGGGGCCGTCCATAAATGACGTCACGCGATTTTGGAAGATTTTTGACCCCTCCCCCTGTCCTCGAGACAGTCTGGTCCTTTCACCTGATGAAGGCCGCTTGTGTTGTGGCCGAAACGTCGTGATTTTTTGTTTTACCTACGTGACTTTAACGAATAGAACCAAAGAGTACAGTACTCATTGTCTTTGAAACTGATCGGTCTTCACCAGAGACGACCCTCCTTTAGGGCCCAGTCTCACCACCAGTGTCACACCAGAGAACACCAAAAGGCGAACAGTACAAGGACAATGCCACTCTCAGGGTATTTAGAGCTCGGGGTACAGTAGCTACAACATGGGACCTTTTTTATTATTTACCAGTATGAAAGAAGTAATATTTTTAAAAAACTTTTTTTTTCAAAACACGCTTTAATGAAATGTACCGTACTAGTAATGTAAGAACTCCACGACTCCAGGAAGTGGACCCGAAGCTTGCCACAACGTAAGGGGACCGTGACCAATTACAGCCATCGTCAGTTGAGCGTGGACAGTTAGACCCTAGCCGAAACATAACATATAAAAAAAATGTTTTAAAATATATGTAGATTTTTTTTATGATAGAATATAGTATTGTCATCAGTATGACATAAGTATATCAAGTTTGCAGTCGATACCACATTGGGAAGTGGGTGAAAATTGAGTTACAAGATTTGAGGATGCAACAACAGAGTGAAATAAAAGCGTGTAATCAACACATTCTCCTGCCGAGGGAGCTGGTAGTAGGAACGTTGGGTTGCTCGGTCAATGGCCAGGGTCAACGGCGACACCACCACGTGGTGTATTCCGCACAATATGGCCGACTGTGAGGGCGGGCACAAGCCGGCGTGAGTAGGTGAAACGTTGAGATTTATAAGGGGGGCACCACGGGGTGACCAGCCCCTCCCCACCCAGCCCCCACCCCTCCCACCCCCCACCCAGCCCCACCCCTCCCAGCCCCTCCCTCCCCACCCAGCCCCTCCCCACCCTCCCCTCCCCACCCAGCCCCTCCCCACCCATTTTTGGATGCACGACGGACGGACGGACACAATAATCCCCTGTGGGCCGCTGGTGTAGTAACGAGGAGGTTCCTACACAGTATAATAATAATAATATCAGAGCCCAGGTGTTTGTGTTTGCATGTTCACCACGAGAACTATGCGTATACTCTTTGGTTCTATTCGGTAAAGTCACGTAGGTAAAAAAAATATAATAACAAAAATCACGACATTATGAGACCTCCTTTGCCAGAAACAAGATATAGGAATAGGTTTTACCCTTTTAACTGGCACAAAAACTGACACCTTTATTCAAGGCATCATGTTTGCAATGACCACAACACAAGCAGTCAAAATGCAAACAAAAAAGACAACTCTGATAATAATATTGGCACTGTCCAATCAAATTCAAGGACAGTGCATATTATTATCAGAGTTGTCTTTTTTGTTGGCCTTCATCAGGTGCGTTGTGGCCGAAACGTCGTGATTTTTATTATTTTTTTACCTACGTGACTTTACCGAATAGAACCAAAGAGTATGGATCCTTGCAGTCACGAAAGCTTTAAATCTAGAACTCTGTGTGGCTAATGCAGGAACTTTATTCCTTGAAAACGGTTTCCATTTGGTGTGTTTGAACTTCTTCACACAACTCCTCTTTCATTGCCACCAAGTGTTGAACCGATTCTTATAATTCTGATACTGGTAACAAAGGGGCCGTCCATAAATGACGTCACGCGATTTTGGAAGATTTTTGGACCCCCCCTCCTCTTCGTCACACGACGTCACAAAAAGTCAGACCCCCCCCTCCCCCCTCAAATATGACGTCACAAAGCTCTGCCGACAAACTCCACACCGGCGCCCGTTTAAACAGTGCCGGAATCAGTGGAGGTCTCAATCAAAACGTTGATTCTGTAGCACTATTTCGTGAAAAAGGGTTTCCCATTCAAAGTGGTATGGACGGTCCCATAATTATTGACACGAAGAATTATGGGACCGTCCGTAAATGACGTCACGCGATTTTGGAAGATTTTTGACCCCTCCCCTCTTCGTCACACGGCGTCACAAAAAGTCAGACCCCCCCCTCAAATATGACGTCACAAAGCTCTGCCCCCCCCAAAAATAAAACATGCTTCAAATCGCTTTAAACTATTGTCACATTGTAGTGCGTATTTAATGTGGCGCTGCACTCTGATGTTGTAGGAGAAATCATTTATTAAAAAGTCAATTTCATTAAGTGGAACGTGTTGTCTATATTTATTTAAAGTTGCGCGTTTTGATGTGACGTCACATTTCTCAAAGCCCCCTCCCCCACCTCGTCACGCATCGTCACAAATGTCTGACCCCTACCCCCCTCCAGGTGCGTGACGTCATTTATGGACGGCCGCAAAGGTCCCATTCTGATTGTGATCAGCACGCGCCACTTGAACTGCGAACTTCTCGATTCGAAAACTTTATTTCTTTAGAAGTTCTTGTTCTATTTAGGGGCCGTCCATAAATGACGTCACGCACCAAGGGGGGGGGGTCAGACATTTGTGACGATGTGTGACGAGGGGGGGGTGAGAAATGTGACGTCATATCAGAATGCGCAACTTTAAATAAATATAGACAACACGTGCTACTTAATTAAATAGACTTTTTGATAAATGTTTTCTCCTACAACATCAGAGTGCAGCGCCACATTAAATACGCACTACAATGACAACAATAGTTTAAAGCGATTTGAAGCATGTTTTATTTCTTTATTTTGGGGGGGGGGGGGGGGCAGAGCTTTGAGACGTCATATTTGAGAGGGGGGGGGTCTGACTTTTGTGACGCCCTGTGACGAAGATGGGGGGCGGTCTAAAATCGTCAAAAAACGCGTGACGTCATTTATGGACGGCCCCTTTCCCACGTGATGACGGACGCTTGTGTTGCGCCCGAAACGTCGTTATTAAATAATATTTTATTGTTTCCCTTCTACGCGGTGACTTTACCGAAATAACCAAGAATATGAATCCCTGCAGTCACGAAAGCTTTAAATCAAAGTCGTTATTTGTATTTTATACCCACGTGACTTTACCGAAATAACCAAAGTTTACAACTTCACGATGTCACATTTCGGTTTCCCGCCTGATCAGCTGTGAGCCACGTGACGCCCGGCGGCTTCTGATTGGCTCTTCACCGACGACATCGACGGGAATACTAAATATTTACTTCACCATAATTTACATTATTTATGAAACAACGAACTAAAACGGTAAGAATTGCATAATCGTTCACGTCTTTTAAAAAAAAATCAATAACTTTATATATCTTTTTTTTTTAAATGTCCCGGGGGTTCAAAGGTCAGGTGTGTGACGTCACCGCGCGGAGCGGCCTGCCCCGTGTAAACAAACGCCCCCCTCCCCCAAGCGAGCAGTGGATAGAGCCTGCGCGCTAGGCGGTGAACTCGCCCCGGACTTTTGTCTTTGTGCGCGGCAAGGTGAGCCACGCAGCGTGTCCAGAGAACAGCTCCATGTTGAGATGGCGCATCAGTACTAAGTCATCATCACGGTGGCTAGGAGATGTTGACTACCTCGCTCGGTACACAGGAGGTCGTGGGTTCGATCCTGACCCTGACGCCTGCTGCTGCTGTATATTTGGAGTTTGCGTGTCTCTCTCTCATCATCATCATCACGGTGGCTAGGAGATGTTGACTACCTCGCCTGGTATACAGGAGGTCGTGGGTTCGATCCCGACCCTGACGATGCCTGCTGCTGTATATTTGGAGTTTGCGTGTCTCTCTCATCATCATCATAATCATCACGGTGGCTAGGAGATGTTAACTACCTCGCCCGGTACACAGGAGGTCGTGGGTTCGATCCTGACCCTGACGATGCCTGCTGCTGATACTGTATATTTGGAGTTTGCGTGTCTCTATCATCATCATCACGGTGGCTAAGAGATGTTAACTACCTCGCCCGGTATACAGGAGGTCGTGGGTTCGATCCCGACCCTGACGATGCCTGTTGCTGTATATTTGGAGTTTGCGTGTCTCTCTCTCATCATCATCACGGTGGCTAAGAGATGTTAACTACCTCGCCTGGTATACAGGAGGTCGTCGGTTCGATCCTGACCCTGACGCCTGCTGCTGCTACTGTATATTTGGAGTTTGCATGCTTTCAGAGTATTTGGCTGCTATACATTTCCGCGTGATAAGCCACTTTGTTGAGCTGCTAACATTTGTGATAGCCAGGTCGCCTCTGAAAATCAGCTACATAGCTCAGTGGGCCTTACCCGGTAAAAATAAAAATTCTAGTTTTTTACCTGCTACGGTGTCTGAACGTCGGCGCTGGGCAGACAAATGCGGACGGGCGTGATGCTGGCCACCCACCCCCCTCGCGCGCCTTAGTAGCTGCTGCTACTCGCTTCGTAATTGCCCCCTTACCAAACAGCGTCTCGCGAAGGAGCCGTCTCATCTCACCGCAACCGCCGCCGGGGCTCGCACAGGCCCATGTCCACCACGTCTCCATACTTCACCGCTGGTGGCCCTGCGGGGATGCTGACCCGCAGCGGCCGGTCGGTCTGGGCGGTGTCGGCACCGGCGCGAGGCGGCGGTGGCGGCGGAGGCGGTGGAGGAGGAGGAGGACGTGAACGCTGCGGTCGCCCCCGACGTTGCCCGCCCGTCAAAGTGGAGTACGAGAGTGCCCACGGCGATGTCGACGGTGAGGAGGTTACGCGTCGCGAGTCGAGCGAAACGTTTTTTGTTTTTCTTGAACCCTTTCGCGTTCGGAGATGCCTGCGAGTTGCAGGGTGGGTCCCGGTTCGCGCATCAGATTTGTTTCGATTGAAAGCTTTCGTGACTGCAAGGATTCATCTTCTTTGGTTCTTTCGGTAAAGTCACCACCACGTAGAATGAGAATAAAATAATAAAATAAAACGTATAAAATTCTCACAGGTTTGTTCCTTTCACCTGAAGAAGGTCACTTGTGTTGTGGCCGAAACGTCGTGAGAATTTTATCTAATCTTCTTTGGTTCTTTCGGTAAAGTCACGTAGAATGGGAATAAAATAATAAAATAAAACAATAAAATTCTCACGGCGTTTCGGCCACAACACAAGTGGCCTTCTTCAGGTGAAAGGAACAAACCTGTGAGAATTTTATTGTTTTATCTTATGATTTTATTCTCATTCTACGTGACTTTACCGAAAGAACCAAGGAAGATTAGATTTGTTATTTTAATGGCTCGCCACAAGGAGCCATAGAGACACGACCACCGCACTCTACGATAGCTGGCGCCAAGCCGAGCCACTCACGCCCTCCCACGTGCCCTCGTGGGAGCCTCGGTACCGATAAAGTTATTTTATTTGAGCTTTTATTCAGTTCCGATGACGCGTACATGCACGGTACGCGTCATCGGAACGGGGAAAGCGTTAAACACATGTGGCGCCTTTGCTGGCACAAATCTGCCACCCACATCTGCCACCCGTCATATTGATGTGCACTTACAAAGTTAAGGGGGGAAACTGACATCGCGAAAATCGTCACATCGTAAAAATGACTACCCGATCGTGGAAATCTACAGCGTGAAAGATGATAGCGCCACGTGAACATTCACGTCACGATTTTATCCTGAAAATTTCCATCGTGCATTGAAAATTTAAATCGCATCGTGAAAAAACATTACCCTATCCTATCACCAAATTCGATGCCGTATTGTGAACATTGGCACCCTGTCAATTTTTTTCCACGGTACATGAGCACCGTGCCAATGAAAATTGAGATCGCACCGCGAACAAAAACGGTGCCGTATCTCATCGCCAAATTCGATGCCGTGTATGTTGTGAAAATTGACGCCCTGTAATTATGTTATTTTTTTTCTTCTCACGGTACACGAGCACCGTATCTTGCCATGGAAATCGTCGGCGCGCGGTGAACAACTTTTTTTCGTGTCGCCGAAGAAAACCGGCGTCGTGCCGCCGCGTCAAAAGCACGTGCCGGCGAGACCCTAGTTGGCGCGACGGCTCGCAAGGAGGAGCTCAAGCAGGAGGAGGAGGAGGAGCAGGAGAAGAAGAATGTGAAGGAAGAGGGGAAGGAGGCATCTGGGGAGGAGGAGCGCGAGGAGGAGGGGAAGAGGAGGAAGAGGGCGGGAGGCCGGTGGGAGCCGCCCCACTGGAGGGCTCAGCTGGACAACGTGAGGCGGATGCGGCAGCACCGCGACGCGCCCGTCGACCACATGGGCGCCGAGGCGTGCCAGGATGACGACGCCGCGCCCGCGGTACGGCACGCGAGCGCCGGGCGGTGGCGCCACGCCGGCTCCAAGCCGAGAATTTCACGGTGGCTATGAGATGTTGACTACCTCGCCCGGTACACAGGAGGTCGTGGGTTCGATCGCGACCCTGACGCCTGCTGCTGTATGTTTATTTGGAGTTTGCGTGTCTCTCTCTCATCATCATCATCACGGTGGCTAGGAGATGTTGACTGCCTCGCCTGGTACACAGGAGGTCGTGGATTCGATCCCGACCCTGACGCCTGCGCATGTCTATGCCAAAAACCGCGTGGGCATAAATTGTGTTTAAGTTAAGAATCGATCTCTAGCGTGCTCAGTGATAACACTTTCCTGGCTCCCACGCGGAAGACTCGGCCCACTTAAGTGGATGACAGAAGCAGAGCCACGCACATCAACATCAATCAAACTCCGCCCACCGTTGTAAAGACATGGCAACTACTGTACTGTAGAGGGCGATCTCGCGTGGGTTTCGGATTAACCGGAGCAACATATTTGTTCGATTTAAGCACGTGACTTTGCAATGAACATTTACAAGAATAACAACGTATAACTGTTTTTAGACGATTAATATGGGCTTCAGGGAAAATCCATGAGCTATTAATGTATGTCAGAATCTCAGGTGCGCGGTTAATTTGCAAATCGGATAAACCGCACAGAGATAATCGAGAGTCTACTGTATTTTGAGTTTGTGCGTCTCTCTCGCTCCCCGTGGTCACGTGGATTTTTCTCCGGGTCCTCCGGTTTTTCTCTCCGCATTTAGAGTCGACGTCGCGCGTTTTGGCTGCTCGGCGTTTCCACGTGACGACGATAAGCAGCCACTTTCGTCGAGCTGTCATTTGGAATCCGAATCTCTGGAGGAAATCCGATGAGTTATAAATGCACTTTTTCCCGCAGATGTTCAGTCGGGGCTCCGGGGCCAGCGAGTTACAACAGCAAACGATACCAAAAAAAAAGCCACATTAGCTCCGCAAACGTAGAGGGAAAATGGAAAGCGGAGAATCGAAGGTGTAAGTGGCTGCATGGCGAAAGCCTGAGAGAGGAGAGGCTCAACACATGTCCCCGACCACACCTGCAACCCCTCCCACTGTGCGCCGTGCCGCGGCCTTCACAGGCATCCCGCTGTTATGAAGGCTATGGTGGTGGTGGAGGTTGGGCGGCGGGGATCCCTGCGTGTGCGCGAGCAGGTGAGACGATACCAGGTGCTGGTGTCGCTGATGCTGTCGAGCCAGACCAAGGACCAGGTGACGTCCGCGGCGATGTCGAAGCTCCGAAGCCACGGCCTCACCCCTCGGAACATCGTCGGCACGGACGACGCCACGCTCGGCCGCCTCATCTACCCCGTCGGCTTCTGGAAGGTGCCTCACCGCGGCCCCCCCTCCCTCCGGCCCCCCTCCCCTCCCCGGGCCCCCCCACCACCTGAGCCCCATCCCACGCCGGCGTCTTTCGTGTGAATCGCGATCAACGGTGACGGCGATTTGTGCTCGATTGAGCGTCCCGGCGCTCGCTTTGCAAGCGACTTGCGCGTGTGGCATCTCTGATCTCACCTCGGGCGCCTTTGAAAGGGGGCCACTCCCATTGGTGTCCCGGCCCCTTGAGGCGTTGCCAGGGCTACAGGCAACGTCGAACTTGCATCTCGCCCATCTAATTTACTGACTCACCCACCGTCTCAATAACTCATTCACTCACCATCTCACTCACTCACCCACCCACCCATTTCTTTCGAACCGCATTTTGTGTTTAGTTTGTTGTCCTTTCTCCGCACCTCCGATTAGCACGCTTGGCTATGTACCTTGCGAAAGAAGTTCAACATACATACTACACACGTACTCACTCTCGCAAATGAGATGCATCCTGGCCTCTTTCTTGAGGTATCGCCAGGGCTACAAGCAACATCGAAGCAACATCAAGCTACAAGTAACATCGAGTTTCTCACTCGCCCATCTCACCCAGTCATTGACCAACTCCCCCACACAAATCTCACTAACCGACCGACCCACTCATTCACCCACCATCTCACTCACCCGCCCATTTTCTTTAGAACTGACCCTGAGTTATTTAGAGAGCCTCCGGGAGCTACGCCGATTTTAAATTATCATCTAGATTGACAAACTCATTTCTTTAGAGCTTGTTGTTGTTGTTGTCTAGTTGTTGTCCTTCCCCCACCCCTGCACCTACGATTAGCACAGAGCGGCCGTGTAGCGGTTAGCAATTCATTGGAGGGATGTTATTAACCAGGTAAGTCATAACTTGCGAGGGTCTTTCCATCCTTCCTGCCGTTGTTGTTGCAGTTATTTCCGACTCTCTAAATTCTCACTGGCGCGGCCACCGCTTACGGTGGTTCTCCGGCGTTGATACGCTGGCCCCTCACTGTGCCGCAGCCAACGCCGCAGCTTGCGTTGCCCATGAGGTGCCGCTATGCCCGGTCCTCTGACACAGACACGCTACCTTCGCTAACATAGCCACCGCTTGCCCCACCGTTTGTCTCTCGCTGTTCAATAGGCTGTATGTCTCTCCAATTAACGCTAGCTGTTGTACGTGCGGCGACGGTGCTCATTTTCCCATTGTGCTCGTTTTGCATGAGCATGCAAATCCTCCTTTGGCGTGGCTGCTGTGCAGGCTTGACGACGGTCCTCGTGTGCGACGACGAAACAACAAGCAGTTCTAAAGAAATGTATTTGTCAATCTAGACCAGGGCTGGGGAACGTCCGGCCCCGCCGGCCGTATGAGGCCCCGCGAAATCATTTGGGTCTCTGTCCCTGCCGAGGCAACCGCAGGCGGGACTGGAAATTCAACAAATCTAGGAGCAAACCTGGAAAAGCAGTTGCGAGTAGCGACAACATCGTCAATAGCCGGCTAACATCATCACCACGCCTCGCCAAAGAGAAGCAGTTCCAGCCCATCGCATTAGGGGTGAGTCAATGAAGTGTTTGACCAAATATAACGGGCTAATTTTTAAGTTGATAAGTTAGTATGGCCTGCGAATGATGTTATCAATATCCATATGGCCCTTGGCAGACAAAAAGGTTCCCCACCCCTGATCTAGACGATGATTTAAAAGTGCGTGGCTTCCTCATATCGGCAGGAAAGCGTGTTCCAGGAGGTCTCAGCTGAAATCCATCGATACTGTATGTACACTCTAACGGCACTTGCCCGGACGTTCTGTCGAGGCTACGCGCGGGGGGGCGGGGGGGGGGGTGGTCGTTGACTTCCGTGTGTGTCCCGCCGCAGACCAAGGTGGGCTTCATCCGGCGCACGACAGAGCTGCTGCTGGCGCAGTTCGGTGGCGACATCCCTCGCTCCGTGCCCGAGCTCGTCAAGCTGCCCGGCGTGGGCCCCAAGATGGCCCACCTCGTCATGAACATCGCCTGGGACGAGGTGTCCGGCATCGGTGAGGCCTCGCTTTCCCCCCCCACCCATCTGACGTGATCTATCCACTGCGGTGACCATCTGACGTGATCTATCCACTGTGGTGACCATCTGACGTGATCTAGTGGTGACCATCTGACGTGATCTTTCCTCTGTGGTGACCATCTGACGTGATCTATCCACTGCGGTGACCATCTGACGTGATCTAGTGGTGACCATCTGACGTGATCTAGTGGTGACCTTCTGACGTGATCTAGTGGTGACCATCTGACGTGATCTAGTGGTGACCATCTGACGTGATCTATCCACTGTGGTGACCATCTGACATGATCTAGTGGTGACCATCTGACGTGATCTATCCACTGTGGTGGCCATGTGACGTGATCTAGTGGTGACCATCTGACATGATCTTTCCACTGCGGTGACCATCTGACGTGATCTATCCACTGTGGTGACCATCTGACGTGATCTAGTGGTGACCATCTGACGTGATCTATCCACTGTGGTGACCATCTGACGTGATCTATCCACTGTGGTGACCATCTGACATGATTTATCCACTGTGGTGACCTTCAGCCATGAGTTGTGCGGTTCATATCCAGCAGCCCACCCTGTTTATTTCTGCGATTGGAACACCCGCAGTGACACTTGAAACTACTTTTTTTACTTCACCAGGTTAGACCCACTGAGATGTGTAAGCGCTTTTTCAGAAGCGACCTGCCCATCGCAATTGAGAGCAACTCAACGAAGTGGCTTATCACCCTGTGGGAATTTGTAGCAGCCAAACATTCTAAACGCGACGTTGATTCTAAATGTGGAGGGAAAAACCGGAAGACCCGGAGAAAAATCCACGCGACTATGGGGAGAGAGAGAGAGACGCAAACTCCAAATATGCAGCAGGTGTCGGGGTTGGGATCGAACCGACGACCTCCCGTGTACCAGGCGAGGTAGTCAACGTCTCGCCACCGCCCTTGTCAGAGGGCGGAGGCTTTCGCGACCGATATTCATAATGGAAAGTTATTTTTGGGTTAAATCACCTGATGAGGCCTGTTTGTAATCACCAGCGAAACATCATGGTACTCATCTCGTAAACGTTGTGCGTTTGCTCGCCAACACACCCGGCAGTGCTGGGAAGCGGCAACGAACTGGCACGTTTTGTTCACGCGACAAACCCTCACCGTATTCTTGGCTCTTTCGGTAAAGTCATGTTGAAGGGAAACAATAAAATAATAAAATATATATAAAACAATTAAAATTCTCACGACGTTTCGACCATAACAAAAACGGTCATCATCAACTGATGATGATGACCGTTTAATAAAATATATATAAATCAATAAAAATTCTCACGACGTTTCGACCATAACACAAACGGTCATCATCGGGTGATGTTTTATTATTTTATTGTTTCCCTTCAACGTGACTTTACCGAAAGAGCTAAGAATATGAATTACTGCAGTCACGAAAGCTTTAAATCAAAATTTAAACCCTCACCGATTGGCCGTCACTTTTTATGTACGCGCTTTAACCCCAAAGGGAAAAGCAAACCGATGTTTTATCATGCGCCTGCCCCCAACAGTCTGTTGCGGCCTCCAAGGGTGAGCTTCGTCTCTCTGCCTTTTGCGTTGGCAGGAGTGGACACGCACGTGCACAGGATTTCAAACCGCTTGGGCTGGGTGCGCAAGGCCACGCGCGCTCCGGAGCAGACGCGGGTTGCCCTCGAGGACTGGCTGCCCAGGTACGTCATCGTCGTCGTCGTTGTCATCGTCAGTCAGCCATCGTTGCTATCGTCTGTCAGCCGTCGCCAGCCATCGTCGTCGTCGTCGCCGTCGTCAGAAGCGTGGCTGCTTGGCCGACCGTCCCGTGCCCCTTTGTTCTTTTCACATCCGTCCCGTGCCACATCCCCGGGGTCGCCTCGTCCTCGCGAGACGTCACGAGGACGAGGGATCCGTTGGGGAGGGCCCTCGCACGGCGTGACGCGGCGCGAGCCCCTCCGCATTGTCAAGCAACTATACATTACAATTTATACCAGTGTACACTACACTATATACTACTATACATTACACTATATACTACTCTACACTATACTACTATACATTACACTATATACTACTCTACACTATACTACTATACATTACACTTTATACTAGTCTACACTACACTATATACTACTCTACACTATACTATATACTACTATACACTACTATACACTATACTACTATACATTACACTTTATACTAGTCTACACTGCACTATATACTACTCTACACTACTATACACTATACTACTATACATTACACTTTATACTAGTCTACACTGCACTATATACTACTCTACACTACTATACACTACACTATACACTACTATACACTATACTACTATACATTACACTTTATACTAGTCTACACTGCACTATATTCTACTCTACACTACTATACACTACACTATACACTACTATACACTATACTACTATACATTACACTTTATACTAGTCTACACTGCACTATATACTACTCTACACTACTATACACTACACTATACACTACTATACACTATACTACTATACATTACACTTTATACTAGTCTACACTGCACTATATTCTACTCTACACTACTATACACTACACTATACACTACTATACACTATACTACTATACATTACACTTTATACTAGTCTACACTACACTATATACTACTCTACACTACTATACACTACACTATACACTACTATACACTATACTACTATACATTACACTTTATACTAGTCTACACTGCACTATATACTACTCTACACTACTATACACTACACTATACACTACTATACACTATACTACTATACATTACACTTTATACTAGTCTACACTGCACTATATTCTACTCTACACTACTATACACTACACTATACACTACTATACACTATACTACTATACATTACACTTTATACTAGTCTACACTGCACTATATACTACTATACACTACTATACACTATACTACTATACATTACACTTTATACTAGTCTACACTGCACTATATACTACTCTACACTACTATACACTATACTACTATACATTACACTTTATACTAGTCTACACTGCACTATATACTACTCTACACTACTATACACTACACTATATTACTATACACTATACTACTATACACTACACTACTATACACTACACTACTATACACTACACTACTATACACTACACTATACTACTATACACTACACTACTATATACTACTATACACTACACTACTATACACTACACTATATTACTATACACTATACTACTATACACTACACTACTATACACTATACACTACACTACTATACACTACACTATACTACTATACACTACACTACTATATACTACTATACACTACACTACTATACACTACACTATACGTTACTATACACTATACTACTATACACTACACTACTATACACTACACTATACTACTATACACTACACTACTATACACTACACTATACATTACTATACACTACACTACTATACATTACACTATATACTACTGTTCACTACTATACACTACACTATACATTACTATACACTATACTACTATAAATTACACTATATACTACTATTCACTACTATACACTACACTATACTACTATACATTACACTATATACTACTATTCACTACTCTAGACTACACTATACACTACTATACACTACACTACTCTACACTGCACTATATACTACTCTACACTATACACTACACTATACACTACACTACTATATACTACACTACTATACACTACACTACTATACACTACACTACTATACACTACACTACTATACACAACACTATACTACTATACACTATACTACTATACACTACACTACTATATACTACTATACACTACACTATACATTACTATACACTATACTACTATACACTACACTACTATATACTACTATATACTACACTATACATTACTATACACTATACTACTATACACTACACTACTATATACTACACTACTATATACTACACTATACTACTATACACTACACTACTGTATACTACACTACTATACACTACACTATACGTTACTATACACTATATATTACTATACACTATACTACTATACACTATACTACTATACATTACACTACTATACACTATACACTACACTACTATACACTATACTACTATACACTATACTACAATACACTACACTACTATACACTACTCTACACTGCACTATACACTACACTACTATACACTACACTATACATTACTATATACTATACTACTATACATTACACTATACACTACTCTACACTGCACTATATACTACTATTCACTACTATACACTACACCAGGTGTCTCAAACTCAACTTACCTGGGGGCCGCTGGGGGTAGAGTCTGGGTGAGGCTGGACCGCATCAAGTATTCCAAAAAAAAAAGTACAACTGATCCAATCTTCTCAATCTTTATTAACAACAGTTCAGAACATGAACGGTTCTTCGGAACGTAGGCTTCCCTTACCTACTCCTTGCTGCCAGAGACCTGGCAGCGCTTCCTCTTCTTACACAGCTGAGCCACATTTGGCTTGAGGGGAGGAAGCAATTGAGACCCTCAGTATGGTTCGAAGATGCTCATCATCAGTAGTAAGTTTGGACCTGAACTTTGACTTATTAAAGTTCATGATGCAGAAGAGCTTTTCACACAGATATGTGCTCCCAAAAAGGCGCATGGTCCGCTTGAACATCCTGGAAAGCTCAGGGAAGGTGGGGGTGATATATTTACATGCTTTTATCCCAATACCTGAGTATTTGGGATCTTATTTAGTATGCCCTTTCTATATATTCGGAGAGGTATTTGAAAACTTTATCATTGTTCATAGCTTTTTTTTGAGCACTTCGTTTTTCTTATCATTATTAAGTTCATCAATCGTGTTCTCTCTCAGGTGTTTATACCTTTCACATTCATAAATAAAGTGATCTAGATTTTCTTCTTTTTGTTTACATCCTACATTTCCTTCTGCTCTACCGAATCTCTCTGGATGCCATTGAGCTAACTCTGGTGTCCGTGTTACTCCACCTGTCTTAATTCTTAACATCAAGTGCATCGTCTCATGTTTTATATGTTTTAATTTCTTGCTCTTTTTGATTAAATTGTTCTTGGTAAATTCGTTTTCTTTTGCGATTGCACATATCTGTCCTGTTCCCTTATCTTTGTTTCTCTTGTAATAATAATAATAATCTATAACTTCTTCTTTATAATATTCAGGTTCTAACCACCATTTGGCGTTTGTTCTTGCCACCCATCTCATGCTATTTGCTATCCATGTAATTATTTTCCCTTTCCTATTGCAACACTCTGTTGTCTTTATTAGGTCACCGATTACTCTTGTTGAGTCCGCCCGCTTCCTAAGTCCTCTGTACCTTGCACTGGGTGACAGGATATATTTTCCTTCCACTTGGTGTCACTCCGGAATCACGTTTCAACCAAGTGACTAACGTTGCTAATTCGCGTTGGCCAACTTGTCAACAAACACCGGAAGCTGTCACGAGCCTGAGCTATGGTAAAAAAATATATAATAATAAAAAAATAAATTTAAAAATTGATGTCAAGTAGGGGGCCACAAAATATCTTTCCGCGGGCCGCGATTGGCCCGCGAGTTTGAGACCCCTGCACTACGCTATACATTACTATACACTACTACATTATTATACATTACTGTACACTACTGCACAATACACTATTATGCACCACACTACTATACACTACTACTACACTATACACTACTATACATTACTATACACTCCACTGCTATAGACTGTACACTACTATACCCTACAATATAATACACTACTATACACTACACTACTATACACTACTATACAATACACTACTATACTACTATACACTACACTACTATATAATACACTACTACACACTACACTACTATATACTACACTACTATATACTACAGTACTATACACTACACTACTATACAATACACTATAAACTACACTATATAATCCACTACTACACTATACACTACTATATACTGCACTGCTATACACTACACTACTATACAACACAATATACACCACAATATAAATTTCACCGCGACACACTACGTAACTATACTATACACTACACTACTATACAATACACTATACACTACCACACACTTCGCTCCTATACACTACACCCTTATTAGGAATCCACTGGAGCTATGCACTTTTAAACCATCATCTAGATTGACAAACTCCCCCACGCACCTCCGATTAGAGCGAAAGAAGTTTGACGTACGTTCACGCATACGTTCGTGTTGAATCACCACCCTGAGCACGTGGTGCGTACGTATTACGCCCCGCAAAGTTAACTCGATGGGAGCGTTTGCACGGCGGTCGTCCGTATCCGCGTGTGACGCCGACCCCGTGACCCCAGGGAGCTGTGGAGCGAGGTGAACTGGCTGATGGTCGGCTTCGGGCAGCAGACGTGCCGGCCCGTGGCTCCGCACTGCGCCGAGTGCCTCAACCGTGCCGTGTGCCCCTCGGCACGGGCGCTCGTGACCAAGAAGAAGGCGGCGGCGGCGGCGGCGGCGAAGACCCGGGACCGGCACACCAAGCGCTGAGAGCCGTCACGACCACGCCAAGCCCGGAGCGTTGGGCGGTGATGCACCAAGCCCTGAGGCCTGGCCACACCGATCACTGAGCACCAGGCATGATGCACCAAGCCCTGAGGCCTGGCCACACCGATCAGGCATGATGCACCAAGCCCTGAGGCCTGGCCACACCGATCACTGAGCACCAGGCATGATGCACCAAGCCCTGAGGCCTGGCCACACCGATCACTGAGCACCAGGCATGATGCACCAAGCCCTGAGGCCTGGCCACACCGATCACTGAGCACCAGGCATGACGCACCAAGCCCTGAGGCCTGGCCACACCGATCACTGAGCACCAGGCATGATGCACCAAGCCCTGATGCCTGGCCACACCGATCACTGAGCACCAGGCATGATGCACCAAGCCCTGATGCCTGGCCACACCGATCACTGAGCACCAGGCATGATGCACCAAGCCCTGAGGCCTGGCCACACCGATCACTGAGCACCAGGCATGATGCACCAAGCCCTGAGGCCTGGCCACACCGATCACTGAGCACCAGGCATGATGCACCAAGCCCTGAGGCCTGGCCACACCGATCACTGAGCACCAGGCATGATGCACCAAGCCCTGAGGCCTGGCCACACCGATCACTGAGCACCAGGCATGATGCACCAAGCCCTGAGGCCTGGCCACACCGATCACTGAGCACCAGGCATGATGCACCAAGCCCTGAGGCCTGGCCACACCGATCACTGAGCACCAGGCATGATGCACCAAGCCCTGAGGCCTGGCCACACCGATCACTGAGCACCAGGCATGATGCACCAAGCCCTGAGGCCTGGCCACACCGATCACTGAGCACCAGGCATGATGCACCAAGCCCTGAGGCCTGGCCACACCGATCACTGAGCACCAGGCATGATGCACCAAACCGCGAGCCTTGTTCACAACACACGCGAGTGCTCCTGCGTCAACCGATGTGGGGGAAGTATGGCGCGGATGTCGCGATGTTCCCCGGCTGTTGGGCCTCGCAGCATTCCGTTTCCACGGTACGTGCATGATGAAGAGGTTTTTGTTTTAATCGCATCCACGCACGTACTCGTTTTGGACTTTTTTCGTAAGCAACCGCGCTAATCGGAGGTGCGGGGGAAGGACGACAGACTTCACAGGTTGGACAGCGCGTGAATATCTAAAAATATAAACGTGTCGATAAACCCGCCACCACCCGACGCGGCCGGCGAGCAAAGGTTTGTCGCGTGCCGATTCGTTGGTGACTTCTCAGCACCACGCCGGGGGTGTGTTGGAGAGTAAAACCTCACGGTGTTGTAGGTACGTGCCGTGTGATGTTCACGCCGGTGATCACAACGACCGCAACCAGCTTCGTCAGGCGATTAGCCGGAACCGTGGAAAAGCCTCCCCGCTTCCGGTCTTTGTTATAGATGCTCGATCTAACCCAGGAATGAGTAATATTTAAAAAAAAAAAACTTTTTTTTTAAACGCGCTTTTATGTAACGTACTAGTAATGTAAGAACTCCACGACTCCAGGAAGTGGCCCCAAAGCTTGCCACAACGTAAGGGGACCGTGGTGATTTACAGCCAGCGTCAGTTGAGCGTGGACAATTAGACCCAAGCCGAAACATAACATAAAAAAGATTGTTTAAAAATATTTACATTTTTTTATGATAGAATATAGTACTGTCATCGGTATGACACAAGTATACCAAGTTTGTAGTCGATACCACATTGGGAAGTGGGTTAAAATTGAGTTACAAGATTTGAGGATACAACAACAGCAGACAGAGCGAGTGAAATGAAAGCGTGTAATAATAATTTTAAAAAACCACCTCTTTTGTGGATTTTATCGGTCGCGAAAGCCCAAAGCGGTGAAACTGACGTGACATACATCACGGTCGTTGGCTCGCTCGCCTGCTCACATTCAAAACTCGTGCGTGCTTGGCCCCGGCTGTTATCTTTTTTTTTATCGAGCATACTGTCCGGCATCTTTTGTGTACTACTTTTGAAAATAAAAGCTAGCCATGAGCGACCGCTGTTGCGCTGCCAAAGAGCCGTTGTTGTTAGTGAAGTGAAACCAGCGGCGAATGCTCGAAAGCCGAGATGTTTTGTGTGTGTCGTTGCTGTTTATCGATGTGTGTGTGTGTGTGTAACGTGCGTGCGCTATTTCAAGGGCATCATAACCGACCGGTTGGCACCGAGGGAGCGGAGCCGAAGGTCGGTATGGCTCAGAAGCAAGGCGAAAGAGGTGGCCTGCAAGAAGGAGGTGGGGGGGGGGTGGTGTAGTGAGTGGGTTGGAGAGCGAGTGGGAGAGTGAGTTTGTGAGCGAGTGGGACAGTGAGTTTTTGAGTGAGTTTGTGCGAGTGGGAGAGTGAGTGGGAGAGTGAGTTTGTGAGTGAGTTTGTGAGCGAGTGGGACAGTGAGTTTTTGAGTGAGTTTGTGCGAATGGGAGAGTGAGTGGGAGAGTGAGTTTGTGCGAGTGGGAGAGTGAGTGGGAGAGTGAGTTTGTGCGAGTGGGAGAGTGAGTGGGAGAGTGAGTTTGTGAGTGAGTGGAAGAGTGAGTTTTGAGTGAGTTTGTGAGTGAGTTGGAGAGCGAGTGAGTTTGTGAGTGAGTAGGAGAGTGAGTGAGTTTTTGAGTGAGTTGGAGAGCGAGTGAGTATGAGTGAGTTGGAGAGCGAGTGAGTTTGTGAGTGAGTTGGAGAGCGAGTGAGTTTGTGAGTAGGAGAGTGAGTGAGTTTTTGAGTGAGTTGGAGAGCGAGTGAGTTTGTGAGTGAGTTGGAGAGCGAGTGAGTTTGTGAGTGAGTTGGAGAGCGAGTGAGTTTGTGAGTGAGTTAGTAAATGAATGACTTGGTAGGTGAGTCAGTGAGTGTGTTGGTAAATCGGTGAGTTAGAGAGCGAGTGACTTGGTAAATGAGTGGCTTGCTAAGTGAGTGAGTCACTGAGCGATGGAGTTGAAGAGAGAGAGAGTGAATGATTGATTGGAAAAAGGTGTAAACTGGATTTGTGGGTTCCTAAAAACCTCAGGGCTTGTTTCTAATTACCAAGTGGAATGTTTTTAAAGGTGAACCGCCGGGTGTGTGGACGTGTGTGTGGCTGTGTGTGTGGCTGTGTGTGTGGCTGTGTGTGTGGCTGTGTGTGTGGCTGTGTGTGTGGCTGTGTGTGTGGCTGTGTGTGTGGCTGTGTGTGTGGCTGTGTGTGTGGCTGTGTGTGTGGCTGTGTGTGTGGCTGTGTGTGTGGCTGTGTGTGTGGCTGTGTGTGTGGCTGTGTGTGTGGCTGTGTGTGTGGCTGTGTGTGTGGCTGTGTGTGTGGCTGTGTGTGTGGCTGTGTGTGTGGCTGTGTGTGTGGCTGTGTGTGTGGCTGTGTGTGTGGCTGTGTGTGTGGCTGTGTGTGTGGCTGTGTGTGTGGCTGTGTGTGTGGACGTGAAGTTGGAGGTATGCGCCTACCTACCTGTGCTTGAAAAGTACTGCGTCTGTGTGGGGAGCGGTTAGTGTAGCGGTCGGCGCGCTCCGCTACAAACCCGGCGATCCGAGTTCGATTCCCGCTCACGGCCAACTCCCGTGACGGTGATCTGAACCGGTCTTGGGCCTCCTCCGCTAGGTCGACTCAGCCTCTGGTGCGGTGTGTGGAGTAAACATCGCCACTCCCGGAGACAAAGGCGGCCGGGTGCTGTTTCGGCCACACCACCACCCCGCGTGCCGTGCCAACAACCCCTAATAGGTGCTCGCTAACAGCCCCGTGTGACCGGTCTTGACATTAGATGCCCACTAGGGCAATGTAATAACTGTGTTGGTAATCTGACTAACATGACTATTCTGGGGACGGAGGCATTGGAGAAAATCTGGGTCTCTTGTCCCAATTACAGAGCACAAACTCGGCCTGAGTTGGAATCCAGCTGCTGCTGCTGCTGGCTGTCAGACATCTGGGGTATCTCACCACTTCACCGGAGAGAACTGAAGTGGTGGCCGATGATCCGGCGCTCACCGATTCACTCCAGCCACCAGCTCGCTCACCGATTTTATTTCGCTCACCGATTTTATTCCACTCACCACACTGCAGGTTACAACAACTCACCCACCCACCAACTCACCCACCCACCAACTCACCCACCCACCCACTCACCCACCCACCCACTCACCCGCCCACCCACTTACCACACTGCAGGTCACAACAACTCACTCACCCACTCACCACACTGGAGGTTACAACAACTCACCCACCCACCAACTCACCCACCCACCCACTCACCAGCCCACCCACTTACCACACTGCAGGTCACAACAACACACTCACCCACCCACCAACTCACCCACCCACCAACTCACCCACCCACTCACCCACCCACCCACTCACCCGCCCACCCACTTACCACACTGCAGGTCACAACAACTCACCCACCCACCAACTCACCCACCCACCCACTCACCCGCCCACCTACTTACCACACTGCAGGTCACAACAACTCACTCACCCACTCTCACCACACTGCATGTCACAACAACACACTCACCCACCCACTCACCACACTGCAGGTCGCTTTCACTTCTCTCTCCACTTCTTCCCTCGCACCGCTCCACTTTGCAATCCACCTCCAATTGCCACGGTGGCTATGAGATGTTAACTACCTCGCCTGGTACACAGGAGGTCTGTGTCTGTCTCTCATCATCATCACGGTGGCTATGATGTTAACTACCTCGCCTGGTACACAGGAGGTCTGTGTCTGTCTCTCATCATCATCATCACGGTGGCTATGAGATGTTAACTACCTCGCCTGGTACACAGGAGGTCTGTGTCTGTCTCTGATCATCATCATCATCACCATCACGGTGGCTATGAGATGTTAACTACCTCGCCTGGTACACAGGAGGTCTGTGTCTGTCTATCATCATCATCACGGTGGCTATGAGATGTTAACTACCTCGCCTGGTACACAGGAGGTCTGTGTCTGTCTATCATCATCATCACGGTGGCTATGAGATGTTAACTACCTCGCCTGGTACACAGGAGGTCTGTGTCTGTCTCTCATCATCATCATCATCACGGTGGCTATGAGATGTTAACTACCTCGCCTGGTACACAGGAGGTCTGTGTCTGTCTCTCATAATCATCATCATCACGGTGGCTATGAGATGTTAACTACCTCGCCTGGTACACAGGAGGTCTGTGTCTGTCTCTCATCATCATCATCACGGTGGCTATGAGATGTTAACTACCTCGCCTGGTACACAGGAGGTCTGTGTCTGTCTCTCATCATCATCATCATCACGGTGGCTATGAGATGTTAACTACCTCGCCTGGTACACAGGTGGTCTGTGTCTGTCTCTCATCATCATCATCACAGTGGCTATGAGATGTTAACTACCTCGCCTGGTACACAGGAGGTCAGTCTGTCTCTCATCATCATCACGGTGGCTATGAGATGTTAACTACCTCGCCTGGTACACAGGATGTTGTGAGTTCGATCCCGACCCTGATGCCTGCTGTATATTTGGAGTTTGCGTCTCTCTCTCCCCGTGGTGGCGTTGATCCTAAATGATCCACATTTAGGTTCAACGTCACGTGTTCAGAGTTATTTGGCTGTCATAAATATCCCCACGATGATGATGATGATGAGAAGCGACTTCGTTGAGCGATCATGTTGCGATTAGCCGGGTGGTCGCTTCTGAAAAAGAGTGACTACATCGCTCAGTGGGGCCTTACAGCTGGTGAAATAAAATTAGTTTAAAATGTCCATAATAGAAGTGGGGTTTTTTTTTTAGGTTAGATCGCCTAAATATAAATGTGTCGTTAAGCCCGCCACACCAACACGCAGCCAATTAGTGGGCGGTTTGTCACGTGAACCAAACATGACAATTCGTTTGGAGTTCAGCAAGCGTGATGTACACACATTATGTATGTTGATGAACTGTGAATACAACCAAACCAATGGTACAGGGTGTCTGAAAATGATGGACCCAATTTCAAAGCAGTATATTTCACGACGGCAGCATGTTAGAATTACACAAAAAGCTGCAAACGGTTTAATGAGTTACCAAGTTTTACTAACCATTTTATAAATTAATCGATTGGCGGTGACCCGGGGGGTGCCAAAACCTCCACAACTCCAAAACCAGAGGGCCTATGAAGACGTGGAGATGTCACTGAGCCCGATACGCTACGCCAAATATGGAAATAAAAAACAAACGCAAAGCACCCGTAAACAAGGGGGGCTGCTGGGGTATTTGTGCGTGGCAACGGCTGTTTATCGCTTGTTGTGAAAGTACATCGGGATGCTGGTCCGGTCATTCCCCAGCACGTTCTGCTTCTTACGGGGGCGGCCACCCCCCCCTTGTCTTTGGGAGCGAGACCGCTTGGGGGCAATGGGGCACCGGGCGCTCTCTTGGTACGGTCGGCGGTCACATCGTCGTCGTCGTCATCATCATCATCATCGCTCCCAGCGTCGCCCTCCGGCAGGACAGGGTGGTGGTACCAGCGATGCTAGCAGAAAAAAAAAAACCTGAAACTATGCCCGGCCCACCAATATTTTGCGGAAACCCGGGCCACCGCCGATCGATTCAAATGCTCTATGTGCCCTCCACCTGCTGTACGGACAACATCGACACGATAGCTGAATTCGTCCCAAACGCCTCTCTT